AGCAATACCATTACTAGATATATTATTCAAATATCAAAGGAAGAAGGAAAGGTCTCATATCTACACAAATATTTATAGCAGCTCTTTGAGGTGACAGGGAATTGGAAACTAAGGAGATGCCCATTAGCTGGAGAATGATTAAACATGAATGAGGTACATAGTATCATGTGCTATTAGAAATAATGAAAGGCATGGTTTCAGAGAATCCTGGGAAGACTTGTACAAATTAATGTGAAGGGAAGTGAGTAGAACCAGGAAAATAAATTACATAATAACCACTATATTTAAAGGTAAGCAACTGTGAAAGACTTGGGAATTTGGGTATTTGGACATGACCAATGTGGGAATTTGACTTTTTTGACTATACAGGTTTGTAATGGATTTTATTTTTCTTGTTTTCTCAAAGGGAGGAAGGGGGAAAGAAAGAGGTGGGAGGAAAATGCTTCAGATGTAAAAAGAAAATAAAATTGAATTTGAAAAAAAAGTATCTTGTCCCAACTTCTTGTTTCTTGAACTTTCAGCAGCCTCCTTACCATCACCCACTTTCCTTTTAGCCAAGGTTGGATGGACCAGTGTTCTTCATTCAACAGCTGCTCCTGGTTAAGGAGACCAGTCCAGGAAGCTAATTCATAGAACCCAGGGCTATATGGCTTTTGGCTGGGTGGTCTATCCCTCCTCCCAACTCCTATTTTCCCTATATTTTGCTTTCTGACAGTATAGCTCCTTGGGGGAGGGAGGGGAGTTGTACAACTAACTAGCTTTGCTCTAAATAAAAATGTTTGGAACAGAAAGATGAATGTCTAAGCCCCACGGGTGGCAGTTTCTTTGTCAAGACCCAGACCAAAAAAATTTTAAAAAAGACCCTCTTAGCTTGTTGCTATTCGAAAAGTGGGGTATTACTGGGGCTGATGCTGCAGAAGGTGTGCAGCTGTGGTCAAGCCTCTTCTCCACCTATGGTTGCAGGCCGGACTCTCATTCTGTCAAGTACAGGTTGACGAAGCAGTCCATACCCTTTGCCTTCGTAAGAGGGAATCCCATTTTATGCCTTTTTTCTCCTATTTCTGAAATGTTTGGTTCCTGGACCATTACATTTACAATGTGAGTCAGAAAATTCCCTAAACTGGCACTAGGGACCTACTATGTTCAAGGCAAGAGGATGCACGACCTAGTAGCTAAAGAGCTAACCTCAGAGACAGCAATAACTGAAATAGCCAGTCAGTATTTCAGGCTCTGTGTGGGTGTTGGTGATTCAAAAAGGAAAAGAAAACAATCCCTGCCCTTGAGGAGTTTGCATTCTGTAAGGAGAGATAACATGTTCACATATAATCATATTAGATAATATATAAACATAATACATACAAGGCAATTGGGGGAGGGATGGTGGAGAGGAAAGGCACCAGCACCCAGAAAGATAGAGAAAGAGAGAAAGAGATGGAGAAAGAAGGTGGACCTAGAGGGGAATTTGGAAAGAAGACCTAGGGTTAAGACTTGCCTTGGCACACTGTCTGTGTGACCTTGGGCAAGTCACAATCTCTTAGTTCCCTGGGCAACATTCTAAGACTGTAGATTACACAGATGAAATCTCAGGCCCTAAACCCACAAAAATGAACTATGTACCTCCAGGAGTCATTGTGAGAAAAGCACTTTTCAAGCCTTAAATACTATTTCAGTGAGACTGTTGACTGCCCCCGAGCTCTAATTTCTGACATGCCTGTAGCCTATATGGATATTGGATTTCAATAGTTGATTTTGTTCAGTTGACTCCAGGAAGGAGAAGTCCTGTGAAAGAAGTGAGTAGACCAGGGTGAGAAGATATAAACATGCCCTTCTCCTCATCCTTTTCTTCCTCTTCTCCCTCCTTTTCTTCCTCTTCTCCCTCCTTTTCTTCTTCTTCTTCTTCTTCTTCTTCTTCTTCTTCTTCTTCTTCTTCTTCTTCTTCTTCTTCTTCTTCTTCTTCTTCTTCTTCTTTCTCCTCCTCCTCCTCCTCCTTGTCATCCTCATCCTCTCATTATCAATAGAATGGAATACATCTCCATTGTCCAGCCCACTATTGGAGATGCCCTAAAGATTCTGAAAGTGATTCTTGAGAAAACAAACTTTCCTTCAACAGCCTTTATTCAGTTACAAAAAGTAGTAATTGTATCCACACATGCAATTAAAAAGTACACAGAATATTAAATGTAAAAGAACAGTAGTGAAAGAGTGGCTCAATCCAGGACCACTCCTATCTTAACCTCATTGAAAAAGATATGGAGAACAAGATTAATAATGATGGTGATGATAGCAATAATAATAACAGCTCTTATAAGTCATGCCTTAAGATGAGTGTTTACATACATTATCCCATGCAGTTCCATGAAGAATTTTTGACTTTAAAATGTACTTGTGAAGTCTAAGAAGGGCACACATTAATTCCAGTGTCAAGAGAAGCCTTCTGGCCACTGAGACATGTGACTTTAATTAGATGAATAAACACTCCTGCTATCTTTCAATCCAACAGATGGTTTGGACGTACTACAGATGTAACTCTAAAGGGATTTGCTCTTGTCCTCAAACTGAAAAAGCAAGATTGATCCTTAAAGTTGCATTTAATAAGAGAAGACTCAGGAAAGAAATACTTGCCTGGGGATAGCCCAACTGGAGGTAGGTGAGTACTGACTGATTAAAGCTCCCTCTTTGCCACTGACAATTTAGAACCATAACAGTGGTTCTTTAACCCTAAAACAAAACAAAACACAAATATCTGTAAAGAAATATTCCTAGTAGAACTCTGTAATAGCAAAAATCTGGAAACAAAGTTCCCTAAGACCAAGTAAAGGCCAAAAAACGTATGGTATGTATCTGTAATGGGATGGAGAACCAATGTGGCCTAGTAGATAGAAGGTAGCAAGTTGGGGATTGAAGTCAAGAAGACCTGGGTTCAAATCCAGTCTTTTCCAGGAGGTGCCACCATGTACCTAGGCTTGATGTAACTAGCCCTAGAAGACAAAATATGTTCATTATTATGTGTAATCAGGAAATTTTAGTTTTTAAATTACTTAATAGTCATGAAGGACATAATTTTTGGTCATCAAAAAGTGAAGAAAACAACTAAACTTATTTTTAAGTTGTCAACTTAAGTTTATTTTTAATACTACAAATTTTACTTTTAAACCAATCCTTCTCCCTCCCTTATAACACAGAAAAAAACTTTCAGTTTCTTCCCCTTCACTCAAAAGACATCCTTCCAACTGGATTCTATTCCAATTGCCTGGTATTCAGCCATGGAAACAGGGGGTGAAGTTTAGCTGTTGACCAGAGGGAGGGCGTTAAAATATTTATTTTGGCCTGTCTTTCTGCTTACCCACCAGAGTCCCAGGGCCACAAAATCTAGCACTGACTACACACACAGTTCAGAGGCCACAGAAGTCAAAAGGGAAAACAAATTTCTCACTATCTATACGAAAACTCTGTTCATCTTGAACCATGTGATGGAGCTCCAGTATGACAGTGGTGAACTGCTTTGCCACACAGACATCTTCCTGCTTGATGCTTCATATAATATTAATGACCAGAGGATCATCAAAGATGGTTGTCTTTACTTGTAGGAATCACAGATGTGGAGGGTTTGTGGTATGCAAGCTGGTGAGCAGGACAATGTGGCAGCTGCAGAAGTGAATGTCATCTTGTCATCCTAATCTACATTAGGAAGGGCAGGACTTCTAGAAATGAGAAGGTGAGAAATCCTTCTTCTCCCTTCACTGGACCATATCTGGGGCGTTGTGTTTAGTTCTAGGCACTATGGTTTAAGACAAATATTGATAAATGACAGAGACGGAGAGAGAGTCCAAAGGAGGGAGTGAGGATGGTGAAAGGCCTTTAGTTCAGGTCTGATGATCACCTATTGAAGGAATGGGGAATTATTGACATGGAGAAGAAAAGAAAAGGAAGTTATTGCGCCTGCTCACAGCTGTTTGAAGGGCTATCATGAGGAAGAAGGAATAGGCACCAGAGGTCAGAATCAAGGGTGATGGGCATCAGATGCAGATTTAAACTCAGATTTACAACAAATCAACAACCTTCTTGATAACAAGAGTGATCCCAAAGTATACTAGGCTGCTGCAACATCAGAAGGCTATGCTTGGAGGTCATCAGGCAGAAGATGGAGAAACACATGTGTGGGTCCTAGGGGGACTCCTTCTGGAGAAGAATTAGCCTAGATAATCCCTGAAGTCCGTTACAACTCCTGGTTCCAACTTGCCTCATTGCAGAGATGAATTATTTGGCCACGACAACCCGTGGAACAACACACAGGCACACACAATATATGCATCTTTAACAAGATGGCACAAAGATCATTGCGGTTGCTTTGTGATTCCCTTGAATCCTCCAGGTCCTTAGCAGGGCTTTTGTTGATGTTATTGTCTTCTTTCCATGAGGTATATTTTTCTTTTGGGTCTCTTCTTTTCTCTGAGTCACTTCCTGTAAGTCTTCCCATGAGTTCTAATAATCTTCAGATTGAATATTAGCCTATCTTAGGTGTGATAATATCGCACTGCTTTCCCTAAATTCTCATAGAATCTACTATTTTGCCAACATAGGGAAGTCCTATTAAATTTTTATCAACGCAGATTAGAGGCTCCCTTTGACAAAGGAAGGCAGCCCTACAGGTTGTCTGAGGCATATAGACATTAAGTGACTTGCTGAGGGTCTGTCGTCACTAGGAAGTGTCAGAAGCCAGTCTGAAATCTTCTTGACTCCAAACCTGAACAATACAATTTATCCATTCTACTACACCACCTCTTCAATCTGTGTATGAACATCTCATAACTTTTTCAGCCATTCCCCAATTCTGGCATCTTTCCCAGCTTTTGTTATTATGAACAACACAATGATATTTTCAATGGAAAGGTCTCTCTTCATCTCCCTGACAATAACATCAGCACAGCTTAGTTTTAGTAGTCTACTCACTGGGTCAAAGGGAACAAACATTTTGAGGTTCATTGCATGATTCCATATTGGTTTCCAACAAGATTGAACCAGGACCTGGCTTCACACTTCAGCTGTGCTATTTTTAGCCTGTGTGGCCTTAAGCAGATCACCTGTCTTCTCTGGTTCCTAGTTTCCTTGTCTGCAACATGTGGGTATCAACTAGGTAACACAGCTCTCATCTATTCTTTTTCTTTAGGTCACTACGGGAAAAACCATTCAACATGTGTAGGCCTATCTATGTTCTCTCGGATCATGAAGATCCCAATGGAGTGTTTGGATTGCCCCCTTGTCATATGTCATCCTCACTATGTGAGCACCCTCACCTTAACTATTAGTCATTTCCTTAATGGTAATTTTCCTTTCTGTTCTTCCCCAGAGCTCCTCAGAGATTATATGGTGCAGCAAACTCCCATTGTACCTTTCCATTCCCCTCTGTGTGATTTTAATTCCAAATCCTTTAGAAACTGTTGGGTTCCATATCTCAGTCATACAATAACACTGGTTGCATATTGGCATTTGGTACTTTATTTCTAGGAAAAATTAGGAATCATTGCTGGAACTTCACAATTTCATGAAGGCAAATCAGCCCACTCATCTCCTTCTATCTGATTCTAGTCCTATTTTGTTGGCCATTTATACTGCCAGTCCCAGTTCTACATATTTCTGGACAGGTTCTATGGCCTGTTCATCCAACTGGATCTCATAATTGAGTCAACTGGCATTTTTTCGTGCAGTATGGCAACTCATGAAACATCATAAAAGTTGTTATCAATAACAAAGCAATGAGAAAAGACGATCGCACATTGATATTAATGAATAGAATACTGGCCTCAGGATCAGCAATAATTAAGAGTTAACCTGCTTCAGATATATCTCCATGGCTTTGTACAAGTCACTCAGCCTTTTCAGGCTGATGTTTCCTCATCTATAAGGTAAGAATAATAATGGTGCATACCTCCCACAATTGTTTCAAGGATACATGAGATAGGAAATGTAAAGTGCTTTTAAACTAGCTATTTATCATCATCAGTATAGCTATTATTGTGAATTAGGGATAAGTAAGGCTACGATGGTATCCACGTAATGGGAAAAGAGTGGTAGGAAGGCCCTTAGCTTGTTGGTGAGACTCACAGTGGGACATAGACAAAAGCTGTGCAGGATAAGCAGGCAAGAATGGCTATCAATGAGTGTGCCTATTTGCACTGAGTTTCTCCAGCAGTGAGATCACTGATCCACTGGAGAGTATTAAAGGATTATTTTCATCATTAGAGTCATGGTGGTAGTATTTTCACTAGAATCTAGTTGTAGCCATAGCTTAGGGTCAGTTCTAAATGAAGCCAGAGTCCACACCTAATGTGGAGTTTATTACAAGCAAGGTCTTTTGTTCTCTGTCCCATCCCATTACTCTTGGCCCAACTATCTTTCTTCTTTTCTAGAGAATGGTTGGGTGCAAGCAGCTATATATCTTTCACCAGAATGAACACTAGCAGTACGGCTTTCAAATTCAGCCCCAAAACTTTCTAGGAGAGAAAAAAAAAACACATGGAGTTGAGGATGAAACTAAAGAAATAGAATCCCAGATTTTAAAATGGAAGAAACCTTGGAAGTTACCTAGTCTAGTTGCCTCCTTTTTCAGAGGAAAATGGTGCCTCAGCACACTGAAAGCACTCACCTCAGGTCACACAGACATCAAGTGACATAGCCACAATTCCAACCCATGCCCATTGTTTCTAGATTTATGACTCTTCCCACCATGGCACACCATTCAACTATATCAAAGTCCCTTGGAAAAGAAGAAGGAGAACCCAAGGCATGACCAAGAATGGACTAGAACTGAAACTTGATCTTGGTACTTAAGGTCTTTGCTTTAAAGGAGGACCAGATGGAGAGGGTGTTTTTGACCTGCTTACCAGTTCCTCGGGCATATTCTAGAAATGCCAGATGGTCAGTCCAGCCCTGAGTAACTCTGATTCCTGTTGCTTTCCTCCTCTGCCTCCAACCTTAGCTCAGCTCACTGCAGACTGGCACTTTATCCAATTCTCTTTCAGTTCTTTCCTGCTATGACTGCCCCCCAGCCTTAGCCCTTGGCCAGACAGAAACACTTTGCCTATAAAAGTCATCCCAGGAGCCTACGCCAACCTCTCCTGAAAATGGAGAGCCATTCAGGCCCCCCCGCTTCACCCCCAGCAGATTGGATCAGCAAGATCATCAGCTGAAGTTCCACCTCCCCTTGGTGGGTCCAAGAACACACAGCCATCTTCCCAGACCAGCCTCAGTCTATGCTCAGTACACCACCCACACTCATGTGCACCATGTTCTTTCTCCCTGCCACAGTGTTACCCTCAGATGGACCTCAGGGAGGGGAGGAGGGGAAAGTTAACACTCTGCATGTCAGAGGCAGAATCCAAAGGATCTCAACAGGTTAGAGCACTGGGCTGAATCAATTATGAGATTACCGTCAAACTTTAAGAAATCACCTTCACAAGCAAAAGATGGGAAATGCATGCTTAGATAGTATTTTACCCAAAAAAGATCTGAACATTTTAGTGGACTGCAAGCCAAAGTTTTAGTGGATAAGTCAGTAGTATGGTGTGAGAGCCAAAATGGCTAATGTGGTCGGGGGCTGGGGCTACCTTAATAGAGGCAAACCTTCCAGGGTCCTCTGCCCTCTGCCTCTGCCCTCTATTCTAGTCAAACTACACATAGAGTCCTTTGTTCAGCTCTCTAGGCTGCAGTGTGAGGACATTGGTATAGAAGAGAAGACTAAAAGGGGACATGAAAGTGGTCTTCAAGCATCTGAAAGGCTGTCCTGTGGGAGAGGTCTGTTCCATGGGAAACGTGCCCTGTGGGAACCCACCCCAACTAAGAGAACCATGAGCAATGGGTAGAAGTCGAAAACTTTAAGCTTGATGTCAGGAAAGACTTCACCTAAGAGCTATCCAAGAGTGCACTAGGGAGCCTAGAGAGGTAACAGGTTCCTTCTCATTGGACACAGCCAATCAAAATCAGATGTTGTCATTTCTTTGGAAGATTGGGTTGATTCAGCTGATAAGGTTCCCTTCCCCACCTCCACCCCCCGCGACCTTAAAATCCTGTGATTCCTCTGAACAACTTTGAATCCATGGCAGTGATGTCTTCTTCTGGTTCTCATTGAAGAGGCAGCTGGATATCCTCCTCTAGGATGCAAGTCTGAAGGATTTGGATAGAGTCCTGTAGCCAAGTGGCTTTTCCACTTACTAGCTATGTGACCCTGGAGGAGTTCCTCTTCCCGGGTTTCCTCCAGCCTTCATTTTCTCAACCTTTGCATTGCTTTCCTTGATGAGTTGTTATGAGAAGAAAACAAGCTGACTCACATTCAAATTCTTGTGTATTAACAAATGGAACATTCCCTACCCTCAAGGAGATTACATTTTATAGGGAGAGAAAACATGGCCATATATAAGTATACATGTAAAACAAACAAAAGGTGATGAGAGGCATTCATTTCTAAGGGGATTCTCCTTTAGGAGCTGAGATTTCAGCCAAGTTTTGAAAGAAATGCATTTTGTAATGGGTTTAGTGATTCCAACCCTTGGACCTTGCAATGGTGGTACAACCTAATTCATCCTTAGCTGAATCCAGCCCCACCTATGGCCAGTTAAGTGACGTCTTACCATACATGATAAACATTCACTAGAGACCTCAGAAACTGCTTCACCATCCATATAGGGGTCACACTTAGAACCTGTGCATAAGTCACCTAAAGTGATCCTCAGAAACTGAAGGGAATGAGCATTGACTAAGGATATAAAATTAACCATGTTCAGACATACTCACCCCAGAGATGCATGATAAGCTGGGTCCAGGAAGGAAAGACACACATCAGAAATAATTCACTACCAGAATAGGGGATGCTGGGTGGTAGACCCAAGAATTCTGGTACCTTGAAAATCATATCCCCCAGGGCCAATGAATAAATTGGCATCTTGGTTTATAAATCAGGCTGATGTGATTTTTATTAACATGAAGGGTCTTGCAGAGGTCTGATCATCCCATAAGAACTAAAGAAAGCAATTCCTTTCTGAACCTCCAAAGAAAATAAGACTTGGATCCATGAAGACAACTTCCTGTGCCCTTCCCTTCACCCCCCATTTCTCCCAAAGCCCCTTGCATTCCTGGATGAGATCAGCCTGAGCATCCCTTCCCACCCTAAACTTCCATATTACCTTTCATAGAAACATTGATAGGGAGTAGAAATAAGTCAGTCAATAAGAATTTATTAAGCATGAACTATGTACAAGGTACTATGGTAAGCAGAAAGAGAACCAAAGGGCAGTCTTTGCCCTCAAGAAGCTCTCACTCTAAGGAGGGAGACAACATTCTAACAAACATCTGCAAAAAAGCTATAAACAGGCTAAATAGAAAATAATCAACAGAGGGATGCCCCTAGAATTAGAAAGGTCATCAGATATAGTTATGGCTTTGGCAGTAGCCACATTTCCATTTTCTAAAGGGTTTCCACTATGAAGTCTTGAGGGCTCATTGTACTCATGCTCTATTACTATGTAACTGGAAATCATTTGTAAGATCAAGAGCTATTGCAAAAATATGTATGAGATAAGGAGGAAGAATGGCATTGAGTCAGGAGACCTAGATTCCAAGGCTCCCTCTGATGTTTACCTCCTTTGTGACCATGAGCAAGTCAATTATCCTCACAGATACTCAGGCTTGCAACTAAGATGCCACTTACTGCCTATATGACCTGTGCAAGTCATTCAATTATTTAAACGTCATTTTCTCATCCTTAAAATGAGTGGGTTCAACTAGATGGCCTCAGAGGCCCCTTCCAGGCCAAAGTCTATGATCCTATAAACAGTATAAGATGATAAATGATGAGTAGATCATGACACGTGTTGGTGGATGGAGTTCTCATACTTAAAGAAATCATAGCTCCCTGCTGTCATCCCTAGGTAGACTGCATAAAGCTGAATCTAGGTGGAAGAAGGGAGATGGTGAGTTCATTTCATTTATGCTAATGATATATGTGGCCTTGGTCTTAGTTTGCTCATCTGAAAAATGGGACCAATAAATCATAGTGTGTTGATTGCTCTCAAAGGAATGTTGGGAAAATTCTTCCACCTGCTTTCTTCAAGTACAGACATAGTCCTTCTAAGGCAAGTGACCCTGTTGACAAAAAGTATTCTGGGATTTCCTTTGAGGAGAATTTCCCCTTATATTAACTCATGTTTATAAGACGGGGAATGTGTCCACCTGCAGATCACTGAGTGGCCTCTGGGAGGTATGGGACTGTACATCTAAGTACATGTCAACTTTTCGATGAAGGTTTGGGGGTGGGGTGGAGAGAGAAGGGATCCTTTAAAATAATCTCTGAACTATTATCTTTATTACAGAGCTCAGAGGAAATGCTTTGGGAATTCAAAGCAAG